AGGTCCTTAACTCTATCATGCACACAACGGAGAGAAAGAAACAAACTGGTTTAGTTGTTGCATTCATCAGCCCGAGTTTACATGAAACAAAACATGAACGGAAGATGAAAGCTACATCTGTTGCAAAATACCAAGCAATAAATTCCATGTATATTATCTGTTAACATTAATCTTTATTTGCACAAAAGGTTTCGTAACTGTAAATATTGAAAGTTAAAATCCGGATGTTTATATTTACGAGCGTTTTTATTTTCATAGGTGTAGGCACTGCATTTACATACATGGTGTCGATGATCACGAATCTCGTGAACTTCACACAGCAGCAAAGAGGCAAAGTAATGGGGACACTCAATTGCTTCTTCTCCGGAAGTCCATTCGTCTATTCTCTAGTTTATTACCATGTAGTTAACGGGAATGATCCGGACAACTTGGAAAGCTTCCCTCGGCTGATGCTGCTGGTGGCAATATCATTCGCCGTTGTCAACAGTCTATGTATTTTATTCTTGAGAAGGCTTCCCGAGAGCAAGGAAAGGGCAAATCAATCCATATCCTACGAGGATATAAACGGAATACCGAACGATTTGAGCAAAATGTTGGAAAAAGACGCGTCAATGTCAACAACATGCCTGGCTGGAAACTGCAATTTTCACGCTTTACTATGGGTGTTTACTTTAACTTCATCCGTCGGCGTGTTTGTGACGAATAACCTGACGGAGATAGCCACAAGTGTAAGACTAGATCGTCATAACCCTACTCTGGTTCTTCTGATCCCCGTCACAACCATGGTAGTCAGTATTCTGATTGGAGTCCTCTCGGACAAATACATTGGGACCTTCCCTAGATCAAGCGTGGTCCTGATAGGTATCGGTTCATTCATCATATCGCAGATGCTGTTCCTGTTGTTGGCGGATGTTTTCTCCCTGCTGATCATAGCCACCATATTGGTTGGGATCGGGAACGCCATCATGTGGTCACTCGGGCCGGTCTTGACGGCCGACATCTTGTATATAGGTAATCTTGGCAGGAACTGGGGTTTAATTACCCTCGTAAATGCAATATTCTGCTTTGCTCTACAAGAAGTCTTCGGTGTCATGTACGAGAACGCCATCACTACTCCTAATGAACTCTTCTGTTTCGGACTACATTGTCTGCGCGGAGCGTTCGGTATCGGACTTACGTCTACCCTTCTCTCTTTTTTACCAGCATTGGTTCTGTTCATCCGAACGAAGAGTTCGTTTCCAAAACCAAAACCAGAAGTAAATGGCACTATTGCCATTCTCGAATAAGGAACAAAACTAGAAGGGTTTCATCACGTTGTAAAATAAACACATATATACCGAAAGAATTGTTTTGTTATTCGATACATCCGTTTCATATTAGACCTACTGATGTATCGTTTGTTAACTTCTATTAAACATGTCACACAAAATAGGTTTAATAATTATCTTTGAACAAATATAATGATATATATTCCAGTATAAATATGTGTATGTACATGTATACACTTATTATATAGATATATACTACNCAATCCTACTTTGGTTCTTCTGATCCCCGTCACAACCATGGTAGTCAGTATTCTGGTTGGAGTCCTCTCGGACAAATACATTGGGACCTTCCCTAGATCAAGCGTGATCCTGATAGGTATCGGTTCATTCATCATATCGCAGATGCTGTTCCTGTTGTTGGCGGATGTTTTTTCCCTGCTGATCATAGCCACCATATTGGTTGGGATCGGGAACACCATCATGTGGTCACTCGGGCCGGTCTTGACGGCCGACATCTTGTATATAGGTAATCTTGGCAGGAACTGGGGTTTAATTACCCTCGTAAATGCAATATTCTGCTTTGCTCTACAAGAAGTCTTCGGTGTCATGTACGAGAACGCCATCACTACTCCTAATGAACTCTTCTGTTTCGGACTACATTGTCTGCGCGGAGCGTTCGGTATCGGACTTACGTCCACACTTCTCTCTTTTTTACCAGCATTGGTTCTCTTCATCCGAGCGAAGAGTTCGTTTCCAAAACCAAAACCAGAAGTAAATGGCACTATTGCCATTCTCGAATAAGAAACAAAACTAGAAGGGTTTCATCACTTTGTAAAATAAACACATATATACCGAAATAATTGTTTTGATCTTCGATACATCCGTTTCATATTAAACCTACTGATGTATCGTTTGTTAACTTCTATTAAACATGTCACACAAAATAGGTTTAAGAATTATATTTGAAAAAATATAATGATATAATCCAGTATAAATATGTGTATGTAAATGTATACAATTACTATATAGATATATACTACAAAATGTTCTGAAATAAAGCAGTACATATGGATATGAATTTCTCCCATCCTTCACAGGTGTGTCTCCCGTTTTAGTCGGGAAAGATCAGCTTGTCAACCCCGAGGGGGAAGTTAACCTCGTGCCGATTAGCACGTGTTTAATTGAGACGTCATTAAAATGCGTTACTGGTAATTGTGACGTCATCAACAGGTGTTTTTGTTTACGCTACTGATGGTGGAGTTGTGACTGAAATAACGGATTGGGAGAAAAACAATCATCCCCTACCTTGAGGGTGTCACAGAGTTATCTCCAACTCTCGGGGTAATTTCTTTGGTTATCTTACCCTCGGCAGGGCCTCGGGTTAGGCAACCAAAAAAATCACCCCTCGGGGTTGAGATTTCTCTATCACACCTTCAAGGTAGGGGAAGATTCTATTAATCTTTTTCATATTTACGATTGATTTGTAGTGATATTTGATTTTCTGAAACAAAGTGAAAAATATCCAAAGTCCGTAATTACACAGATTTAAACCATCTTCTTATGATAATAGTAATACTACTTTATATCTAATGGGGTGAAAACGTGTATGTCATTAGGGAAGGTTAACGACAACCAAACTGAGTTCCTTTAATATCGTTGACAATGTTCATAGTTCAGTCCTTTTCAAAACTGCACCGGGCATGGACATTATGCAAAACTCATTTCAAACCTAGTGCAAATCAATGACAAATACAAAAGATGTTAATCGGAGACGAACAATCTGTCACAAAGGAGGAAGTGCCCATATCCTTATTACGCACATATTATGCTAATAATTGAAATTGGCCAGCACACCATTATAGTTTGACTAAAATATATCAATATTAAGAGAAATTGAAATTGAAGAAATACATGTACCCAAAACCTAAACAAATAATTATGAATTTCGCATATCTCTTATCAATGTTGGAATATTGTATATATTAACATTCTAGGTAAGTTATTGGTACAAAGAATGTTTGGTAAAAGGACGGACTGAAAACATCTTCCGCTCATTCGAACTGAAGATGGAGGACAACTAGATAAAGTATTTTTGTTTATGGGAACTCATCGGTGTCTGTATTGTAGATAAAATCGTCGTTGTTCACACACGACGATTTTGGATCTTGGAATTCGTCATATTGTCCTTCTTCCATCCCCCCAGGTTTAGTGTGATCGTAGATACCCGACTCGTCCCTATCTTCTTTTTTCCTCTCAAAGACATCGTATTCACTACCGAATGGTTGATTTGTGTTTGTGTGAGAGTAAAAGTCGTCGTCATCAATTCCTACGGGATTCCTCTCAGCCCCTGAAGTTTTACCCAGAATTCCGTAACCATAGTGATCGGTTTCTATCGCTGGACCAGCCTCCTCATGTGACAGGTGATCAGGGTCTTCCTGGTCGGCGACCGGAGTAGCAGTGTTGTTGTATCTAACCTCTAGTTCAGTATTTATGGAACCGCTAGTTGTACCGCCCTTGGACAGTTTATTTCTAAAACGAAAGATTAAGTTTGTATTACAGAATCGTGAAGCGAGACAAATGTCATAAACAATTACGTTAATATTCGAATTATATTTTTACACCGATATTTGAACTGAAACTATAATGTAATACATCACCCCCATAAGTTCTGAAATAATGTTTAAAAATGTATTGGGAGTGGTTAGATAAAACAGAGTGAATAACAACTATACATAACCGTTTAGCCAGATTTGATTCTAGTAGGCTTTACAATTATATTATTTTACCGATATATCACATGTTGTATTCAAAAGTTGCTTATGTGTAACGAAGAATTTTATAGGTATGACTCTATTTCGCTCCCTAACTCTGTATTTCTACATATGATTCCAACACTTTAGACGTGGATAGTTTATCCTTTAGACCTCTAGTACCACTGATGAGTCCGAAATGGACGAAATGGCATGATGGAGCAGTATAATGTTTACTTTGTTAGACCTTTAGTACCACTGATTAGTCCTAAATGGACGAAATTACCGTATGGTGCAGTATAATGTTTACCTTGTTAGACCTCTAATTCAACTGTTGAGATACTTTGTTAGACCTTAAGTACCACTGGTCAGTGCCAAAATGGACGAAATGGCCGTATGGTGCAGTATAATGTTTATTTTGTTAGACCTCTAGTACCACTGATCAGTCATAAATGGACGAAATAACCGTATGGAGCAGTATAATGTCTACTTTGTAAGACCTTAAGTACCACTGATTAGTCTCTAAATGAACGAAATGGTCGTATGGAGCAGTATAATGTTTACTTTGTTAGACCTTTAGTACCACTGATGAGTCCTTAATGGACAAAATAGACGTATGGTGCAATATAATGTTTAGTTTGTTTATTTTCTTCGTTGGCATACTAATTTTTTCTTTCATACTTCGTATTTCTATTGTTTATTATATCGACACATATAGAATAGGCTAAACATTCTCTTATCTCTGTCTGATTTAAACATATTTTATTGTCGAAACAGACAAAGGTATGAGAGACAAGTTCTAACAACTTACAGGCTCTTCTCCACGAATACAGCATATGAATTACATTTAAATCACGTGACGTACTATGTACACAGAGATAAATTTACAAGATAATAATAAGGTGGATGTATTTTGTCTAAATCTACTTTATCACAAAAAAGTAAAGGAGGTTTGGAAGAGAAAGTAGATGAAAGACGGGAAAGGAAGTCGAGAGGGAGCAGGTTTGATGACGATTGTAAAAGGTTCGTTCAGGTAGTATCAAAACGCTTTGTTGTATTCAAAAACGTCTGTACCGATTTAACTATATTGATGTTTGTTTCATAGGAGTAAGTGTCACTATTTCCCCATAAAATAATTTCTACGTTAAAATCTACATTTAAATCGCGCAATTTTCAAATAAGACACGTCTTTAAATAACAAAATTTGAATATGTAAAGAAGTTGTGATATCTCTGACTAATAAGTGTTCATATTGTTACATTGTAGCTGCACCCGACACAATTTTTCGCAAAGGTTTGAACTCGCTCGGACTTTACTTATATCTTATGGCGTGAAATATAATGCATATATTACAGCGTCATCACCAAATGACAATATCTGAAAACGAATGTCGATAATACTAAAGCAGCAACAGGATATTAAGGAACATCAAAACAAAAAGCTAGATATGGACCTCTGCACACAACCAGATAAAAAACAAGGTGTTTCGGAGGGGTAAGTGATCCATATATCATATGTTGCACTTCTCATAATGTCTTCCGTATATATTTTTGTCATTACAACGTAGGTAATCAACTTGTTTTCTTTAAGTTATCTGGCTTCATTCAAATCGGTAAAATCAAACAGTTTAAGAACAGGGTTGAGGAATATAGTAGGGTTCTGAGACGACGTCTGTTTCCCAAGGCAAATATATACATATACGGCCACCTCTGTCCTGATACCACACGACGCTATTCAACAACATATGTTCTTTCTTACACGGTCAATTTTTCAATTTGTTTAATCACTATACGACTTACATAACGTAATGCTATTCAACACCTTTCGACTGGCACTATCCTGATACTTAAAGATACCATACGATCAGATGCAATTTTATTATGTGCATCAATATAAGACCAAATCTGTTTTGACACTATCTGACTAGTTCTGACGTAATACTTTACGTTACTTTACGCTTATATTACTACCATCTGTGTTCTGATGATATAGACACTGTACTACCATCTCTGTTCTGATGATATAGACACTGTACTACCATCTCTGTTCTGATTATATAGACACTGTACTACCACCTCTGTTATGATGATATAGACTATGTTTTCCTCAGAGCCTGCAGGGCCCGTATGACCCTGACCGTACTTAATACTACAATTTAATTACCGTAAGATACAGATGATGACAGCTGCCACTAGTAACACCATTGCACAGGTAACTACCGCGACGACCATAGTACCTGACACAAATATAAAAAATAACATCAGCAAATTCATAGCAAACTTGTCAGTAAGTAATACAATGTTTTTATTGTAAATAATGGTTTAAATTGATTTTCGATAAGTATTCACTCATGGAAGGAAACAAATCCGTTGTAGTTATTGTCCCTGCTCAGTATCAAAGAAGTAAGAAGCTTTACTTCAACTGGAAACATCAGGGTTAAATGATAAGTGACCGAGTAATAAAAGTCAGTACTTTTAGCATGAGCCCTAATAACGCCTATGAATTCCGTCAAATCATTATTTGTGTCCTGCTAATATGCAGTCAATTCCTTTAACTAAAACATAACAAAGTCTATTTACGTATTAGTTTACGGTAAACGTGGAAACAAGGATAAATGCTAATCGAAGTGTGACCAATAAGTCTTGCCATTTAAGTACGCATAGAAATAACGTCGGCATTATTCAGTCCTGTGTTTTATTTTTAACAACGTGAAATTGTAACAATAAAGCTAAAATAACGAAAAATATCGGGAACCCATCTTTAAACGGTGGTGTATAAACGTAATTAACCACAGATGACGTATCGTTATATCAGTATTGTATGCGTGTTAATACATGTAGTTAGATAGTCGTACCATTTTGGTTATTCTACCTAATATGTCAAAAATAGTTTTTGTTTTATGGGAAGGTGTGTTTATTCCACAACGAGTAATCGTATTATAAGATTAATTCTAAAAAAAATGAAGAAGAATATGATCTTTAGAGCGTTTTTAGTTTACCTGTTTATATTGGAAATTAACTAACGGAAATGAGGATAAACATGTTTATCCACAGTCTTGATTTGGGTTACATCTTTCAACAACAGTTTTTATGACATTGTCGAAATCACAATCTCACAACTACAAGTCAGTCCCAGAAGCAATTTGTAATATATCCAAATTTTGTTTATTAATAAATTCAAATTAAGTCAGAGTGTTTGTTAATTTGTAAAAACATTCATTATGGCGCTACATCGTTGATGAATGACCGTAACTGGAAGTATAAGTCAAAGTTTGACATTCTTTAAACCATAAATTCAGAATATTAGCCAAACAAAATGACGAATTTATGTTTAACCAATACCGATTAATCGATTCCCTTGACGTTGATAAATTTTGATAAGTGTGGTAGAAAATAATAGTGCTTCTTTGTAAAAAAAAAGTACTTAATGTTTAATTACCACTAGTTTAACTAGCAGGTTATGATGAGGTTTGTTGTACCTCAGACATGCAGTCCAGAAATAATAGTTTAAAAGTTTTTCAGTAGTGGTCTCCCTTTTTCTATGGTGAATCAATTCCCACAAATCGCGATATCGTAAGGTTATGAGATTTGCCTCCCTTAAGTCCATAGGAAAATAATAGCGAATGGCAGGTAACCTACAAAAAAGGTCAACACATATAGAGTGATGTGGGAAGGGAGTATCCTCAGAGCTGGATACCAACAAGTAAAACATCCGGTCAGAAAATGCTCGCGAGGAAAATGTACTAAGGACCACTTTAAAAATACACAAGGTTTGACAATTTAATTAAACTCAAACGGACCAATTAAATTCTACATTTACAACTAGAGGCTAAGTACGATGTAGAGAGGACTTGGGTTAAGCCCCTGATCGCTATATATCTTACCGGCTCTCTGTGATTCTTTAGTAGACGAGTAACTGAATTAATAACTAATTATTCATAGCAGTATTATCCCTACTTAAACCATTAGGAATATTTAAATTGTACAAAAATTGATTTAATAATAAGAACTATTTGAAATTATATTAATCGTAGTAAAAAAGTGTATTTAACTCTCCTGCTGCGACATGAAAATCAGTAAAAGAGCATGTAACCCATAAAATGGTTTTAAAAAGTTATTATGCAACCACACAACTATCTAAAGTATAGAGCATATATACCAAGTTATATAAATAATAGTCACGGGGGTTTGCAACAATAGTTTACACTTTTTTAAATAGATATTAGAAAGTGGACGAAAATCCTCACAACGTACTGATCATGTACCAAATTTAATTAAAAACCGGTTGAGAAGGTAAATATCAGTACTTCTTGGTAAAACACAGAACGAGGAGAAGGGACATAACTCCCTTGAGTAAATTCAAAAATAACAAATCTTGCAGAAATATAGTTTGCTATGGTAATTGATTTAAATTTGTATTCATCAAACCAAAACTACTACCCTTAAAACTATGAAGTGTATTTATCTACGAGATACAGTTCAATTTACAGTATATCATATCAAGATGTGTTTTTGTGAACAAAAACATATGTCTCCCCTTTAACGGTTTAAAGATTACGGCCCGGACATGTTATGCCTGAAAACATTGCACTTTGACCTCACGAGCAAGGCTACAATGACCTTATGACAGTGCAGTGAACACCGTTTATGGGTGATGCCGGTATCATTCAAGTTGCATCAATATATCTTTAACGGTTTAAAAGTTACAGCCCGGACAAGATGGTCCTGGCAAATTTACACATATTTGACCTTTGCCATTGGGTTTAAGTTCACAATGACCTAAGGACAGTCCATTGCACATCGTATATGGTAATGCATGTATACTTGAAGTCTCATCAAGATATCTTTAACGGTTCAAAGGTTACGTCCCGTGTTTTCATCATTACCATACCATGATACAGAATATATGAATATACATGATCGCGTGGTAAGCATTGCCTTTTTTGTAATGAACACAAATGACGGAAACTTAAATTGAACAAAAAAACTGGGGTTTTTTAAACCCACTTCAGAATACCAAAATTTCTTTAAAAAATAAGATTATACACATTTGATTGAACAAACATTATGTTATGAAATTTCGTACATATGATTGAAATCTCATTGATTGAAACGAGTACCTACGACAAACAATAACTGACATATCTATAAAGAACATATAATGACAACTACAATATCATAAACGACGCACCGGTGTTGACATTTACCTGACTGCTAGAAGTTAGGCATTTGGTACATATCATATATTGGTATTAATACAAAAATAACTGAGAATAAACCGTGTAAAAAAAAAAGAATAAACGCAAAATGAGTCTACACTAGCTGCGCACTTACACACTTACCTAACGGGATGTCACCGCTGTCAGTGTTTAATTGGACACTGATAAATCCGGAACAAAAGGTCTCATTGGTTACCAAGGGCATGTGTGTTCCTGACAAAAAATATAAACTCATATGTTTTCTCTCTCTCTTGTATATATTTTTGAAGATTAAAGCAATGATAGCGGACAAAAACAATAACATTTCACCTTACATTTTTCATTATCATATGTGAAACATAATTTCCCTAAACATTGCATACGACATCATACTAGTATACAGATTAAGACAACAGCTTTTCATGTCATGTCTTAAAATGAAGCTGATTTTTTTACAGAAAATATCTTACAAAAATGCCTGTTCTAATTATGCTGACAATTGTATATCGGATGCTCCAGTATTATTTTCCACATTCCTGGATGAAGCACTACTACAAAGGGGCATTGCTATCTAGTATATATACTTACTGTTGACGACACAAACAAAATTTCGGTTCTCGCTACAGTTCACACTCGTCAACAACATTTCGGACGCTTGGATTACACCGCCTGTTGTACACATTCCCACCTCATTAGTTTCTGTAGGAAATATAATTAGCATTTAAATCATGAGATAACATAAATTCAAATCGATATTGGAAAGTGTGAAATGTGTACGCAAGTCTATACAGGTAAAACATTTTAACTACTGAATTAGTATGCAACATCCAAATTCGAAATACAACGGCTCCATTTTTTATATAAATATTTTCTCTGCACCCTTAGAATATGTTAAGGCTAAATAAAAGGCTCAAAGTTAACAACTTGATTGCTGGGCTGATACCTGCCTATGCAAATAACAGAGGAGCTAGATATTCTGCCACGCGATTCAATTCATCTCTTTCAAATCTCCTTCGAATGTAAAAGGATTTTTGACGTTTTCCACTATATTTAACTCTTCCGCAAGATGGCACGTAGAGAGCACTCGAGTTTACATTGCATCATGACATACCCGACGGGATGGCGAGGTTACATAAGGTATGCATATCAAGAAAGGAACCAATTGCTTTCAAAATAGTGCAACATTTAACCACTTATGTTTGTTATTTATTCCGTGGTTTTATATTTATCGATTAAATCATTGATCCATTCTTTGCTGTCTGTTGTACTGTTGTAAGTTTTATCAGTTAATTGTTCTTTGTATATTTATATATTCAAGACTTTATTTTATACAAGATAACATACAGAACATCATAAAAATTGATACCTCCATCGTTTGTACTCGTTGTTTCTATGGTGTTGGCCAGCCATATATCATGGTTAGTGTCCATGCATGTGAGGAACATGTTATTCATGAAGTCGCGAGTAGCCAGGAAGCCTGTCATATTGTTAGTGCAGTACTTGGTAGCAGAGGCGAAGTCTAGTCTCTCTGGTGAATATATCGCAAGGAACTCCAAACCTGGAAAGCGTTAACGTACGACGATATTTCATTACTCATACAACTGTTAATAAATGATATGAAATTTTGTTACAAATATAAGAGATACACAATTAATACTTAAACAAAATGAAGATACTGACTTACTTGATAGGCATATCATATGAACTGGATCCCAAACGTCCGTTACACGCATACAATCACAGGTATTATACCTGTCGTTACATGTCAGGTGATCAGTGCAGTCGGAATTCATCAAACAGCTTTCGTTCCATGTTTCTTCAAGAATAAAAAATTGTAAAAGTGATTACAAAATGGCACTTAAACTCATCAATGTGAACAGCATTATCATCTACATAGTTGTTGTTGACATGTGTGGTTGGTAAGGTTAAACTGGTAAACTTGAAATATAACAGGTATCACAAAGTTACAGGCAACAATTCAGATTGGAATAGCCAACAAATCAGAGATGCTAGAAGTCTACGTTAATTCTCAATTCAACAAAATATATTCATGTTTTGTGATACATGGATAAACTATCGGTTGCATTTTTTTTTTATATCACGTTTATATTTTATTCTTTGTGAGAACAGTCAAACGAAAAGAAAAGACAAGGTACAAGACCTTCCATACCATAAGACAAGATCCAAAAACAAGTCGATGCAAAAAAGACCACAAGGTCAATTCACAAAGCATAAATAAGAGAACACTGAAGTGTCAACAAAATCGTACATTCAACTCAAAATCTATAAAACTAGGGCAACACATGACATTAGAAATAATTTACAATGAGACCCCTGCAAAAATGCAAGAAAACTTTGACCAGATGTTCTGGAAGGCTAAGCGTCTTCTACTTTATCGATGACAGCCCGACAAATCCAAAGCATGACAGGTCCTCATGGCGATATCTGGGGTTGTGAAAACTAAACAACATTGCATACTAATGAGCAGAACCAAAAACATCGACCTTCATAAAAAACAGGACATTTATTTCATAACGAAATCATATTGGCGACCATAACATTTCTTTGGAAGCCCAGTGTTATAAGTTTGTCCGTCGCCGGCGACATCTATCACGGAAGTCGTACTGTTCGGAGACATGCATATATCAAGTTCAGGAGGATATATACAATAGACTTGGTCAAAACTTTGTTGATATTTAAAGACAGCATAATGTTGATATAGCAGCATGTGAAAAAAAAAAAAAAAAAAAATAAGATAACCTCATTCATTTTTTAAATCGAAGGCGAAATCAGGTCTTCCGGAAGGCAAATGTGTTGATTCGATGTGTATGAAGAGGTCAGAGTATCCCTTGAAAACAGAAAATGTTACTGCAAAGCATACCGAGAGGTTGCCGTAAAGCATCATGGGATACTCTGACTTATCATGAAATAATATGTTGAAGTGAAATGTTTTCTATGTGTGTCTCATTATCTATGAATAATTACCTCCATTCACTACTATGAAGTATAACCTCCTTTCACTACAATAAATTATAACATCTATTAACTACAATAAATTATAACCTGCATTACCATCTAGGAACTATAACCTAAATTAACAACAATAATGATAACCTACATTGACTACAATAAGTCATAAAAACCGTTAACTACAAAAAAGGTTATAACCTCCATCAACTACTATTAATTATAATCTTTATTAACAAAACAAAAATGATCTTCGTTAATAAATTATAACTTTCAATATCGTTATTATATTTATTGTGACACATCTATATTGTGAGGAGTATTACTATATCAAAACATTGACCATTCGAGCATTTGCATGAACAATTACATACCCTAGCTATTACTGTGCATTGTTTACACTTTTTTAATTTATAATATTTCAACCTCTATTCACTACAATGAAGTATAACCTCCATTCACTACTATAAATTATTACCTCCATTTACTGCAATGAAAATAACCTCTACTAACTACAATAAATATAACCTCGTTTAACTAAAATAAACTGTAACCTGCACTTACAACAATAAATTATAACCTGTATTAACTACTTATGAATAATTACACGCACGACCTCATTTCACTACAGTGAATGATTACCTCAGTTAACTACAGTAAATAATAACATCCATTAACTACAATGATTATAACCTGCTCTATGTACAATAGCATATGACAGGTTACAACCTATTCATCGGGTTAGGTATTTTTTCATAAAACAAAATAAAAAGCGTTCAATCATTATATAAAGGCAAGTATTTTATATAAAAAAAATCTTACTTGGGCATGGCCTTTCGTTACAGAATCCAACAATTTTGTTTCTGCCTGCGCATGCCGACCCACCATATTGGGGTGTTGGATTGTTACACAACCTTTTTTCGGTCTGAACCCCCTCCCCGCAAGTCACTGAACAAGGTCCATAAGACATCCATGGACTCCAACCTCCATAAACTAAAACAAAAAATAACCGCAATTGAATAATTCAACCTCTATTAACTTCAATAAAGCATAATCTCTATTGATGATAAAAATGTACAACCTTCACTTATTTTAACGGATTCCAACCATCATTACAAGTAACTGCAATGAGATATAACCTATAGTAACTACATTTAAGCATTGAACTGTTACCAGATGCAGTATACAGTCGATATGAATGCCATTTTGGTGACAGATAAACACTGTGTACACATACTATGTTGTTGCCACTTATATATAAGTGTTGATTTTACACGGACTGCTCTGTTGTCCGGTGATAATCAGATTTGAGTTCATTTAAGCGTTGGGCTATAAGTATTTTCAACATGTTGTGATAAGGTCCGTAAAAGTAGCTAACATTTTCGATAATTTCGCTGGTGTTTAGAATTCGTGGATATTATTCAAAGCGCGAATATAGCGAAATTAAAACCCCTGCGAAAAATAACCGCTCTACTGTACTAAAATAAATGATAGCATCCATTAACTTCGAAAAGGTACATATATATGTATAACCTGCACTCACTACAATGCATTATTACAGTGTACCTCAATTAACTACAATAAATTGTATCCTCCATTAACTACAATGAACAAAATCCTGCACTAACTACATTGAAACATAACCTGCACTAACTAGAAAAGCATATGACAGGTCACAACCTATTCATGATGTTAGTTTTTTTCATAAAGAAATAAAAAAAAAACGTTCAATCATTACCATAAGAGGCAAGTGTTTTATATCACATTTCTTACTTGGGCATATCCTTTCGTTACATATTCCACGAGATATGTTACTGCCTGCACATATAAATCCGCCATTTAGAGGTGTTGGATTGTTACACGACCTAATCCACTTCTGAACCCCCTCGCCGCAAGTCGCTGAACAACCTCCATAATAACTCCACTGACTCCAACCTCCATCAACTAAAATTAATAATAACTACAATTCAATATATAATAGTTCAACCATCAAATGTACTGTTTTACTCTACTCTATGTCCTCTCAGTACACAGACAAATTCCAGAGATTGTCATAATGCCTATCGTAAGCATGTTTACATCAGAAACCTATTGATGTGTCCTAAAGCGTTCCACTCTGTTGTCTTTGATAATGGATAAGTATAAGAATATCGTTATTACATTTATTGGGACACATCTTTATTGTGAAGAGTATTACTATAACAAAACGTTGACCATTCGAGCATTTGCATGTAAAATGACATACCCTAGCTATTACAGAACATGTTGTTTACACTTTTATCAATTTATAATATTCCAACCTAGATCTATTCACTTCAATGAAAAAATACCTCTATTAACTACGATAAACATAACTTCGTTTAAGTACAATGAAATATAACCTGCACTTACTACAATAGCATATGATAGATTAAAACCTATTCAAGGTGTTGTTTTTCATAAAGAAATTAAAAAAGCGTATAATCTTTGAAATGAAACAAATCTATAGACATTTTCTCACTGAAAGTTCTTTCAACAATGAATTCAATTGAAAAATAGTGTGCATATTTTTATTAATTTTTATTATTATTTTGAGATCTTCTATAATAGGAACAAATACTTTCACAAATACATGCAAGTTATTTAACAACATATCCTTACCAGCACACTGGACACCTGCATTATTTTCGCAAGACGGACAGTTGTTATAAACCACTGGGCAAAATCTCAATTCTGACTCGTATCCAAGGCATCGATATGAATCAGTCCACCCTGATACTTTGTCAATTATTGGGAATGTTGCGCCTCTGTTGCCTCTACTATAATACAAATATCTGAGTAACATTTAAAGTATTTAAACATACTATCCTAATTGTACGTCGTCTTCCATTTAACATATCGGAAACATGGTAAATCGATACAGACGTACAACTGTTCTAATATACTTAGAAACTCCGTAGTTTGTAACTTGTAAACAACACAACATATAGTCTGTTAAAGTTAACACTGGTAAAATAAACAACAAACTAACAACATTCAGTCGTAATCATTGGAAATAAAAACTACTGCCAATATAACTTAAATGCTTATTTGTATCTTCATTTCTCTTGATTTCGGGTTTTAGCGTACATCTTCATCATGTCGATATAATGTTACTTGCCGAAATCAAACAACCCATTTTTTGTCACCTATATACCACTTCAAACAAATATAATATTCATAAGTGTTTCCTAATCAGTATTTATCAGCTATGGAAATAAAAAGGAGACAAAAGATTACTGTACTTGGAACAAGTATGATCCAAAACACGGTTGATGAAACTATGTACATACAAAGAGCAATGTTCAGTGTTTAATTACAGGTATGTAATGTATATAGCTAGTACAACTGGTTACCGTTATATATAAATGTACATAGAAAAACTGGTTACCGTTATATAGAAATGTACAAAGAACAACTCGTTACCGTTGTATAGAAATGTTGTTACATAGAACAACTGGTTACCGTTATGTAGAAATGTACGTAGAATAACTGGTTACCGTTATATAGAAATGTACAAAGAACAACTCGTTATCGTTGTATAGAAATGTTGTTACATAGAACAACTGGTTACCGTTATATAGAAATGCACATTGAACAACTCGTTACCGTTATATAGAAATGTTGTCACATAGAACAACTGGTTACCGTTATATAGAAATGTTGTTACGTACATAGAAAAACTGGTTACAGTTATATAGAAATGTACATAGAACAACTGGTTACCGTAATATAGAAATGTTGTTACATAGAACAACTGGTTACCGTTATATAGAAATGTTGTTACATAGAACAACTGGTTACCGTTATATAGAAATGNGTGTTCATATAAAAGTACATACAGTACATACATGTACGTGTCCTAAAATGTAAAGCATCTAGTTCCTTGTAACTAGTAAATAAAATATGATAATATACATTTCCAACGAACTTACGATGACAATATACCCGTTTTTAAAGAAAACGCCAAGCCTCAGAGAATAAATGACAAAGCGGCAATTAACACATGGTAGACTTTAAGTTATGCTGATACCTGAGTTACCTGATATCCTGGTATAGTGAAGTCATTTCACCTTCTTTACAGCTTTCAAATTAGTAATAACCGGCTATATGCTGAATACAAATGCGGTAACGCTTTTAACTCATTCACCCCTGAAGACACATTGTATCTCTTCCAATTCAAAGGATGGAATAGTTTATTATAAAATTCAGGGGTGAATAAGTAATCTGAGCTGAAGATAACAAGGAACCAGTTTGAATCTCGACTGTAATTATATTAGTTTGAATTTGTGTATTGATACGAAGAAATAAAATGTTCAATATCATCAATAAACTAGGATACAAAAACTGATACAGAAAGAAACAAAATCAAAAGGGAAAACATCATCATGATCATGTTCAAATATATATATATATAACAAAAAGATGAAATTAATAAAACGGAAATGTCCTCCGATATTCCACCGTGTTTGCATTTCATACACCCGTCATGATGTCTCCCGTAAAACCCAGTAGAGTTGCATCAGCTACTTAGGATTTAAACTATTTAGTTTTTGTGTCATGTCGTTTATGTAAAATAAGTGACGATTATATTGACCAGTTGAACTGTCTTTCCCAAACAACTCTACGATATTTGTGTTTGTTTGTGAAATGGAGCTTCGAAGTCTTACAGCACCTATAATACATATAGAAAAACGTTTGTAATACAGATGGGTTAACACTGATAGCGCTACAGCTCCCCTGTACACCCCACCCCCACCCCCCTACCCCCTCAGGCCTTAGGGGTAAGTAGGGTATTATTTTCCATGATAAACATTCCCACTAAATGTAGTCATTTTAACAGTACACATGTATAAACAACTATACACGAACGTGTTATTTCCCGTTACAAGCCACAGTAAACGGTACTCCCTCCTAGGAAAGAATGCGGGGCCAGGGGCATAGCAATTTCCAAATTTTAATAAACCAACTTATCGCCTTTCAATGGAGATTATTTGACTAAAGAATTCTTAGGGATGAATAGGTGACCCTAGTCTCACTTTATGGGATGACCTGAAAAACACATGAACGCTATCTAATAAGGAAATTAATACCAAAACTAAGTCAACTTTACCTTATCATTGGCGGATATATATTTTCGAAAATCTCCAATCTATGAAACAAATCACAAACGTGTATGGGCCCGAGTAAAAACGTACAGCTTATATTACCTAATGATTAACCAAAAGCTTCTTCTGAACGCTAATGCTTAATTTTCATATATTTTCAATATTTTTTCATAAATTGTTATTGAAATGGTTAGAATTAATGTGTTCTTATCGTACCCACTATACCCACCTTAATCATTTTAACTGCGCAATCACCAGTCGTATAGTATTGTACCGCTATTTAGGCGCCAGGTACAATTATTAAACAAGATATTGGCTTGGAGTTGTCCTTGCATTGTAGATTTGTAGGAAGACAGATATTCTTTTTTTCCTCAAGAAATTCACTTTAATTTGAATATGCATTATCCGAAGGAGGGACGTTTAACTGTAAAAAGATACAGATTCACTAATAAATATTTCATCGATTATATCGGATTGCTATAATATGCAATTGCCCCAATTGTGGTAACCAATTACAATTTGTACAGGATGCAGAACACGTAAACATCTTAATAGCAAGACATTGCAGAGGGATCTTAGCACCCACCAGTATACCGTCTTGATAAGTTCTATGTAAGATTGATCTTTTCTTTTCTTCTTTTATTTTCTCTTACATTTGTATCTGTTATATTGCGTCATGTTAACAGTTAAGTGTACCTTGTGGTAACCATCAGTCAAAACCTCATACTGTTGTGTATGATATTGTTCCTTCAAAGTGAGGTTGTCGTTTGACCTATGTGCTAGCACAGTACTTAATTTTTAAATAGGGAACTCCTAATTTGAAATTTGAGAAAGATCTATCCAGTACTACTTTGTAAATATTGATAACCCACTGGAACTGTCAAAACCCACGATGGCTGCCTAGCGACCTTTTTCTTCTTCTAATCAGCCTAAAATGAAGCAGGCACAATTTAGGACCTATGTCAAAATTCAAGCTAGCTGTCTGGTGGCCAGCATGTTGTTCATATCAGTCTCAAAATGAAACATGCCAACTGATGGACCATTAGAAATCTACATGTGAAATGTGAGAAATAGAGGTTCCCAAATGAATGATGGAAGATAATCATGTTTATCTAACTCGAGTTAGTTGATCTTCAAATTGTATTTTACAATTTGAAAATTAACTAACAAGAGCGAGATAAACGTGATAACTAGGCCTAACTATCACTAGTTTGGGGACCTGTTTCTCCCATAACATTCGTATTTTATCGGAATAAACACATTTTTTCCCTTGGAAAATACATCATGTGTGTTTCCGATTGGGGAAACTATTGCTATGGAGCATGAAAATGACGTCACAATGGAAAATGACGTCGAAAGCTTTGTTACGTTTTTTGACGTCATAAATCAAAGATTGACCAACGAAATCACATACCCACGGTTTATACCAAATTGGTTCCCCTTCATCCAAGGATGCTTCAGACCAAATGTGGAACAAATCCTTTCATTCCTACAGAAGAAGAGGATTTTCAAGAATTTGCTATATTTCCCCTATTGAGCCCCGCCCTCAACCCCCAGGGGGACCAGACTAACCATTTATACAAAATGTGTTCCCCTTATCCCAAGGATGCTCCACACCAAATATGGACCAAATCCTTTCATTCCTACAGAAGAAGAAGAATTTTAAAGAATAATTTGCTATGTTTCCCCTATTGGGCTCCGCCGCTCAGGCCCACGATTTATACAAAATTGGTTCCCCTTCACCCAAGGATGCTTCAGACCAAATATGGAACAAATCCTTTCATTCCTACAGAAGAAGAAAGATTTTCAAGAATTTGCTATATTTCCCCTATTGAGCCCCGACCCCCAGCCCCCAGTGGAGCCAGACTCACTGTTTACACAGAATTGGTTCCCCTTCATCCAAGAATGATTCAAACCAAATATGGACCAAATCCTTTCATTCCTACAGAAGAAGAAGGATTTTAAAGAATTCGCTATGTTTTTCCTATTGAGCCCCGCCCCTCATCCTCCAGGGAGGCCACACTCACCATTTATACACAATTTCTATCCCTTCCCCCGAGGATGCTTCTGACTAAATTTGGTCAAAAACTGCTGAGTGGTTCATGACTAGTAGCGATTTTTAGGAAAAGTTGACGGACAGACGACAGACGACGGACGACGGACG